ATGAATTAATCTTTATCAGACTGATAAAGTAATCAGAGAATCCGATGTAGGAAGGTCGCGTTTTAGTAGCCTTTTAGTCCAATTAAGAGTCCAGGGTGAAATTATCGATTTGTATAGATGTATGTATTCATACTTATGTGCACTTTAAAACACAATCAATTTATTTTGCTGAACATATTTTACATTTCACTTTATACATATTGCATAATTATCGTTTTAGTTGTTGTTAGAGCCTGAGGGCTATTTAACTAGTTTTAAAAGTGTTTAAACTTACCAATATTCATCCACAGCCACAACTCTTACATTTTTATTGGCTTGAAACCTTCGTCGAACGCCATTTGGAATTTCGACTGCGACTAACCAATCAGAAGCTACTTCCCGTTCGGCTCTGGGTCAACGAGATTGATGTCACCTTTTGTGAAATTCTTGGAAATCATTTGTTACAGCTGTCACGCGGAAGTAGTGATTGGTCTTGTAGCTTTCGGTTTGAAGGAGATGATAGGATTTTCACCGGTTGTTTGTCCAACACATTCTAAAAATGACCAACAAGCAACAACTGGATCTTGGTAATGTGGCAAGAAATATGTCTTCTGATGAACAGGCAATCAGTCTTATCGCAAGATTGGTAACACAACCGGCAGTGAATTTAGAGTCTTCAGAGATTACAAGGCATACAGGAGAAATCAGCGAGTTGAAAGAACAACTTGAACAAAAAGACGCCGAGATAATCGAGCTTCGAAAAAATGTAAAGCAACTCGAAGAGGACAACCATAATCTTCTCATAAAACTGGAAGCAAAAGACGAGGAAGTGAAGATTTTGAAGAAACGTATACAACTACTCGAAGATGAAAAGAAAATCCTTAAAGAGGAATTGGCTGCCGTTCATTTCAAGTTGAAGAGCATTGAAGAAGAAATGAAAAACATACAACAGTCGAGGCAAGACGACGAAGAAAAGTCCTCAAAGCTGGACGAGGAAATGAAAATGATTCACTACACTTTAAAAGAGATCAAAAAAGATTTAGCGGCGACGAAATCTGAGAATGAAGTCCTAAAGAAGCAGATTCGTCATCAGACTCGGTACGTACCCGGTGCTCTTCCACTAATGTCTGTACAAGTGAGCGAAGAAGCGAATGCTTCGAAAAATCTAGGAGAAATGTGCCTACAGATTCAAGCTCAGCTCTACAAGAAAATCCTTCCCGGCTACTTCACTCCCATAAGGAGTTACAAAATTGCAACTCTGAAAAAAGATATTGAGAAGCTTTCTAAAACAGTAAACGAAAAGGCTGAAGCTCTTAAACGATGGGAAGACCTCAAATCCACTCTACAGTTGAGGGAGGAAGATTTTGAAGAAGCTCTTGATGCTCTACAGGAAGGATACAACCGAAGCCACGATTTAAAACCACCAAACCTAAATGTAAAAGTGCTAAAAGAATCGGCTGAGTTATTGGAAAGGCGAAATATCTTGAAGGGATGGATCTCTCTGGAGCGAGTCAACGGTCTGATAGATGTTTGGAAAAACCTCGTGGACTGTGGTGAAAAAGCCTGAACAATTATTGCAATATCTGACTGAAACTTTGCTACGTAGTAAGCCTTTTAAAAACTACAAAATCTCAAGCATATTGCTTTGGAAATCTGATGGGATAAAAGAAAACGGGTAAGACCGCTTTTAGCAACATAAATAACGCTAGGGATAGGAGATTGCTGGACAGTTTTTCATTGTGATCCTTAATACAAAAGGAATGTCTGTAGTTTNTCGTGATGGTGTCCATCTATATGTAAGGAATATCTTAACCTCCGTTTACGGTACCCAACACAGCAGCAGTAAGGACTTGTCGCGCGGGTATTTCCCGCTGCCGGCGCCTTCCTTAAACCGCCTGTAAAACCCGTAAATCTTTGACATTGACCGCGAGTCCCCCTTACTGCTGCTTTTGGAAATCTGATGGGATAAAAGAAAACGGTCAAGACCGCTTTTATAGCAACATATATAACGCTAGGGATTAGTAGATTGCCGGCAGTTTTTCATTGTGATCCATATCACACTAGGAATTTCTGAAAGTTTAATACCATAAACTTGAACAGAACAAATCTAACTCACTATATCATGCAATAACTAGATTTGCTACATTAAATATATTGTAAATTCTTTACTAGAATCTCGAAATATTGTACTCGAAGTTTTACAGAACATGCGCGGGGAAATGGACAAAATGCTAATTCTACATTATTTTCTAGAACTCATTAGATTTTGTTTACCAAAGTTCAACGTGTCCCAGTAACCTTTCGTTTTGGTAGACATACTGCGCCTCTAATTATATTTGTGCTGATGGTGCTATTCTGTTTTAATTTTTTGTTAGTAACTTTAGGGGAATCAGTATCTTTGATATCGAAGTTGATATTAATGTTATTTGATAACAATTTGGGCAATTGATTGGCGAAAATTAATTAAAATGATAATTTCCGTTAACTGACACGGTTTGAAGTCTTAGAAGTTTTTAAGTTGTGACGCCTGTTATTTTCGTTCACTATTAATCAACAGCTTGTTTGAAGAAGTTAAGAACTGACTTATAAGTCTGGTAAGTTACATTTGATTTATTTGGGAACTTTATATCGTCAGCCACTAACTTTTTTGAGCAAAAATGCATACAAATTGTTGGACTGAAAACATAACCAATAATGTAAGTTTTTGAACTACCTTTTATAAGGCGATCTTCTTTTCACAAAAATGGACTTTTTTAAAAATTCGAGCTCATTTGCATATTCACGTTCCGAATGATTTATCTTGAAAACTAAACGTAAAATTCTGATTGTATATTAAGCGTCACAGACATCAAAACAAACTCTTTTCAAAAAAATTAAAAGGTATGATCCTGAGAATCCAACTAAACTGAGCGAAGTTACAAGAAGTCAAAGCACTGATTTGCCTCGATTTGTTTGCCCTAATTCCGAATGGCGGACGAAAGCGTGAAGACACGTATAGGAAAGAAAGTCTAACGGTCTTTGTAAATGATGAATATACCTATCTTTGAATTTTATGTAGTGTAAGAGCTTAAAAAAAGATCGGGTTTCCTAACATTAATGCAAGCTCATCAATATTTATCATTATAAAAGTGCGTGTTAAGGAAGTTTTATCGACACATCAGGGGTAGAGGAGAAAAGCAGAACCCGGAGAAAAGTGTACCGAAGCACAGGAGAGAACCATTCTACTTACATCATATCGGTCCGGCATCAATCGATCAGTGTACCACCTGGCCAAACTGAAATTACATTTCAGGATTTCTGAATTTGGGAATTATTTTCAGGATTTAAAAATTATTTTCCGTATTGGGATATAAATTTCGGAATTCGCTAATTATTTATGATATTGAAGTTGGAAATTATTTTTCGAAATCTGAATAGACACTTTTTTATTTGGTGCCTTTAAGACGTAATACGTTAGAATGTACGATAATATATAGTTTAGTATATTAAGGTGTAAGTTGACTGGAATTATGACCTGTACAGGCTACACCAAGCTAGTCAGCTAGCTATCTATTATGTTATTACAAATGTTTGGGTCAAAGTCAAAGTTTTCAAAGAACACTTCTGAAATTTCCTCACATGACCTCAAAATGAAAGTCCCTTTCGAAATCGTCGGTTAGTCTACGCGAAGTGTACGCGAGCGAAATCGAGGCTAAATAATTTCCGAATACAGAAACGCTTTTCAAAAATATACAATTTTGAAAAGTAGAAGCAAAGAAAAAGCAACTGACGAACAATGCTGGAGAACATTAAGAGCAAAACTCATACTTGGCCAGGTGTAGCCATACTTATTTGAATCAGCTAATTCCGGGAATCGTTGAATGAAATTATTATTAGTATCTTTGATATTGAAGTTAGTATTAATGTTATTCGTGAACAACTTTCTTTATTACTTTTCTTGGAAATGCCATTTCGACAAAGTGACTATGAGGAACCATCGAGTAATAACCATAAACCTGCCGTCATTATTTCTTGGTATTGTCGTCTCAAAATCGCAATTAGTTAATAGTGTTTCAGAATATTTTCAGTTTGTGTTTCAGAATATTCTAGTTTGTGTTTGTTTCGGTTACCAGACTCAAAGCGCTCAATAACTAATAATAATGATAATACTTTATTAGAAGCATTCTACAAAGTTTCAAAGCTCTAACAAGAATGAATAAACTGAAATAAAGAAATAGAAACATATAGTGTTTTGACGCTATGACAAATCGACCATGCTGCCCGGTTACATACCCAACAAAACGAACCATGGCATGCAATTCGGGCCAACAGGGGGTGCGAAAAATTGATTAGCGAAATTTTAAACATTTTGTTTGGAAGACCTTACAAAGAAAATTATTTTTAGACGACGCAAGTTATTTTTACTTTTGAAGAAGTTAAGGTATCAGGSTACTCCTAGCGACCGGTGTGCTTTCAACTGGGTATAGCGCAAAACCTTAACAAAAACCCAAAGTAAAGTAAACATTTTCTGAAAGCTGAATAAATCCAGAAACTCTTTCTTTCTTTCTTTTTGTCAAATATATTAATGTTTTTAAGTTAGAGCGATGTATTCAAATTTTCACATTGGTCTCTTTATTGATCGAAAACCAGTATTTACTACCTTGCCGAGATCACGAGATATCACTCTTCAAAAGTGTGTCTCCTATTTTTGATAATTTGCTCTGTTGCTTTGTTCTGCGTTCCTAAAGTTACAACGCCGCTAAAATAGCTGTATCCGATACAAAACTGAAGATAACTCAGGGAAAAAAAACAACAAAAATTTGACACAATCATTTTTGAAGAACAACTACCTGAGATGACTTCCACAAAATTTCAGATAAATCGGTCAAATTCCCTTTGACAATGAACTCGAAGGGTACGGGTAACTGAAAAGCGAAATAGCGAAATGAACATACATATAGGATAAAAAGTATAAATAAGGAATACATTTCGTATGATTTCAGGCAAAATCATTATTTCATGTAGATGAACGGCGTATTTCTAATTCTTCATGTTTTTCGTCTTCTTAAGGAGGCTCTGGGTAGTTTTGGTGTGGCACACCTAGCCGCATTGAAACGGCTACAACTTCGTCTTGAATACCTCGATCTGTAAGCACTTTTTACACAATGTCAGGAAAGGATTAAAGGTTTCAAAAATGATGAATTAGTTTAAAGCGGCCTTTTCATTATGACATAATGATGACATCATAGAAATCGTTTACCGCTTATTTTCTCGAAAACTAGACTTTAATTTAGTGGATTCAATATTTTTAGTAGCTAGAATATA